GGGGTGAGGCGGCCTGCCGCTGCGGGCTGGAGCCAGTGGCAGCTGCTTAGCAGAGCCTGCGCTGAGCACCCGGAAGACTACAGTGTTGCCGCTGGTCCCAGACTGCAATGGCAGTCTGCTAATACCCAGCACACAGATCCACAGGCCCACACCCCCCAGGAAGACCTGGGGGAATGATCAGAGAGCTGGGGAATCGAACCAGGAGCTATAGCTGACAGGTGGATCCACAATAGCACCTGGACAACGTGCAGCACCCTGCTAAGCCACACTGCACTCACGTGGGTGCCAGGCAGGGGGGGTGACCCCTGCTACCCCACACTGCATGGGGGGGCTCTGCCACGAGCGCCTAGAGGTCCTATTTGCCACTCCTGCAGCCGATGAGTGCAGGGGGCTTTTTTGTCTGGCTGCAGCAACGGTGATTGGGGCCTCTGGGCACTTGTGGCAGAGCCCCCAGTGCAGCAGGGAACAGTGAGGATTGTCCCCCCCCCGCCCTGCCTGGCACCCGTGCAGCAGCTGCCCCAAGTCTACCTGGCGTAGCCTGCATCGAGTGCAGAGAAGAATCCATGGTGGTGCTGGCACCAGCCGGCAGCAGCAGCCAGCTGTCATCCGGCATGCAAATCCAGGGGCACGCACCCCCTGAGAGGGCTGCGGGGCTGTGCCAGACTCCTCCTCGGGGACACAGCCCCCAGAGCTGTGTGTGGGCAAATGATACTACTTTTGTTTTGAACAGTTTGAGGTACCGTTTCACAGAAACTCCTGCACCTATCTCCTTGAACCTTGGCAGGCTTCATGCTCTGAGAAGGGGCTACCATTCTTACATCCGAATCAGGCAAGAAATGGCAATATTATAGGCATTTTAGTGATTCCTCATTTATGGCCTATGGCCGAAACACCAAAACAGCGTTGAAACTGCAAAACAGATCTGACCGAATCGAAACGGGACAGTGATCCAAAATGCCAAAACTAATCACTGTCCCTCCAAAACACCGAATCCAGAATGAAACATAGCTGTTTCGCATAGCCCTAATTTATATGGCTCAGTGAAAGATATGTAGTATTACATTTGTTTAACTAACTATAGCTCACAAAAAAGCTTATTTTCAGGTTTCTATAGAGCGTTCACCTTACTCAACACACCATTGACATCAGTGTAAGATTGACTGAGAAAAATTAAAACTAAATTGAGAAACAGCATTTAGTAAGTTGAACATCTATCCCATTTATATAGAGGCGATCTGGAGATAACAGATTTTATAAGGTAGATAGTTCAGAATCATGGGATAGCATAAATACAGCAAAGACAAGTTTATATCTTAAAAGGAAAAATCTCCCAAAGTTCAAGGCGTCTAAGTGATGCTTTCAGGTTTTCTCTCCCCTTCCTGGTGAAGTTAAAAACTGTACCTGCCCTAATTGGCTACTGTATATGGCAATCCAGTATTAGGAGATTGTTATAATGTTGTAACTGTGGGGTCATGAGTGTGTTAGTTCAACAATCGGCTGAGGAAATAATGAAATATAGGGCTGAAGCAGAACTGTCCTCAGATGATATAATTGAGGTCAGATTGGAAGAACAGATAGCGGCCAACAGCTGAAGATTGTGGAGTGAGTCAGAATAAAGAAAGATACATGCTCACAGGGGAAGAATTTGTTAATTTATTTTGAAAGGAAAAGGAATGAAACCACTTTCAGTCAAATCACTTTCTATTTTATTTCTGCCAATAGATCTACAGTGAAGAACTTTATAGAAATAAAGTGGCTCAGCAAGAAATAAAGTGGCAGTGCTCCCGTAAGTCATGGAACAGGCACAGCTCCTCTCGTTTACCCTTTAAAAACAGGGCCTGCTGTACCTGAGATTGTCAGCCTGATATGGAGCAGTGCATGTGGCCTTCCGGCTTTTCAGTGTTCAATAGTTCTCTATAAAAAGGATCAGGATTCAGTCTTCACTCTTGCTTTCCTCAGAGCTAAAGGATAAACATTCAGATTCCAGTCGTAATATGTGATTCTCTCCAATACTATTCAAAGTCCATAGGCACATACTATAATATTTTAAGGATATGAGCAGGTGCTTACACCTGGAAAACATATGTGCTAGTCAGTGGGTTTGCACTTTGTTTATGTAAGTTGTCATGTCAGGAAGTCTTGTGACAACATATCCCACAGTTGCCAGCGTTAACAATTTTATCGTGGCTCTCACAATTCTGGGGTGTTCTTCTAGATCTCATAATAACAGGTCGTAAAGCTGCTATCTCTTGAATTTCCCCTTAATCAAAATGGCTGCCATCTTCCATTACTGCCAACAGGGCTGATGTCAGCATAATAGCCAATATTTCCATGTAGGCAATATGCATGTGAAAGTGAGGGTGCCCCTTCCTGGTCTTTTCAGTGAATCCATACCTGGAAACAAAATGGACTGCATTTCTGAGGTTCAGGAGCCTAGACAGCGTGCCATTAGAATATAGATTGGACTGTGATGGGTGGCAGAGAGAATGTGAAGGGTAGAAAGGGGAAGAAGGAAGTAGATTTAGGAGACCTTAGGGACAAGGGTGGTAAAGGAAAATGATGGAGGTGAGACATGCAGGAGATTGGGTGGCAGATCCTCAACTTGGATCAGTAGAAGGAAAGCAGAGTCTTGTTTAGACCAGGACTGCTCAACCTGGATCAGGCCCTGCACACACAGATCCTGCACTGTGGTGCCTGATCTAGCATGCAGGGCCAGACCATCCTGCCTGCAGAGTTTTCTATGGGTCTAGAAATTTGGCAGCAGGAGAGCAGTGATAATGCTGCAACTGTTCTCTCACTGCCAAATTTTGGACCCATAGTGTCCCATAGGACATGTCTGCAGTGCCACATACTGACAATTCAGTTGTTCTCTGTGCTGCAAAAAGTGGAGTGGCACACACGGCGGCAGTGTGCGCCACCCAAAGCCCGAGTCTGGCCAGCTGGAGCCATACTCTGCTGCCGGCCAGGCTCAGCACGGCAGGATTGCTGTTGCTGCAGCCTCGGGAGGACCCCAGGTAAGGCTGCTGGTGGGACCAGCCCAGTGCTGGCCAGAGCCTCCCCTACCCCACCTGGGGTAACTTGCTGTTCACCAGAGCAGTGTGGCACAGGCATCCCCTAGGGACAACTAGCAGTGGCACAAGGTGCACTGCCACTAGATGTTCCCTGGGGAACATGCATGTCTGGATGCAGCCATAGTGGGGATCCCTGTGGGCCAGACGATATGTCCCTATGAGCTGGATCTGGCTCACAGGCCAAGGTTTGAGCACCCCTGATCTAGAAATACAGGAGGAAGAAATTGTTTCCAACTTCTATTAATTGATTGCAAGTCTCCGGATTTTGGCACCTACTGAAGTAGTTCCTGTGTTGATACAAAATGTTTCTCCATCCCCATGATTTTACAGGACTAGGCACATGGGCAGAACTCTATATGAGAACTCCAGATTAGATCCTGCCATGAAACTTACCTTGTTTGTGACATCTGGGCAGAAAAATCAAGTCCCAGGACAGCAGCAAGAAGCAGATGAGAGGAAGAGTTGGGGATGTGCTGCTGAGGTTCCAAGAAAAAGATAGGTCCGAGGGGAGGAGGAAGGAAGTAGAATTAAAATTAAGCTGAATTAGGTTTTTCTGTTTGGCAACTGAAATGCATTACAATAAATCTATTTTAATTAATTTAACCTAACCCAAAGTAGTAAATTATTACAAGGTTTTGTTTTACCTGCTTAGTTAATATTGAACCACTTTCACTAGTGCATTAACTGACTAAATAGGTTTCTTTTAATCATTTCATTTGAGTAAGAGCAAGATCAAATAGGTTCAAACATGCAACATGGATTTTCTAATAAGTATTTTAAATAATGTGTTAAATAGTTCTAAATGCTAGCTAACATTTTTTTGCAAATTGTGATATGTATGCAACAATTATAAAATTCCATTTTCATCGGGGGGAACAGTAATGCATCAAAAAAAAAACTTCTATATTTATGAATTAATCAGCCATTAACTTGTTTATTATATATAATATAAAGTATGTATCCAAATAAAGAGCAGTTAACATGCCTTTGGCTGTATTAAATGAAAGGCATTGCTTTTCTTGCTTACATTGCAGCCCTTTTGTGATGTGGGTCCTGGAACGTATTAGGAGATGCCAGAGAATAGGATAGGGCTACTTTTATAAAGGAAATGCTTATATATTAAAAACAAACACAGCATTCCATTTTGTGCATGCCAATTCTCTTTAGTTCTTAATGTTTTTCTAAGCCAAAATAAAATACATGCGTTACATGTACAAGTAAAACACATGAGCAGCGTGTTCATTCCTAACAGTGTTGTAAGTGACTTCTTAATGTTCTAAATTAAATTAAAATTACAGTTACATCCATTGGGTGAATGTTTTTCAGTAGTTCTTTTCCTTACTTGTCTTGTCAACTGTCCTATTAAACAGCCAAATAAAATTTTATGTTTAGTTTCTTTTGTGCTTTTAGCAGGCTCACATTAGCTGAACATTTCATAGACTTAAAAGCAAAGTGCGGAGTAGCTGTCTGGGGATTTCAAGATGGAGCCTCATGCTCCTACTTGTTGGTTTTCACTTGCAGGCAGGTATAAAAAGCAGTTAATGTCTCTGTTTCAGGAATGTTCCAGACACAATACACACACACCTACAGATTGAACTGTAGTGCTTATGGTAGATTATTTAAACTTTAAAGACTGATAGAAATCACGTTACTGCACATGTTTTGGTTTTTCTTCTAGGTAAGGGAACGACTGAGGGTTTCTTTAGAAAGAGTCTCTGCACTGGAAGAAGAACTAGCTGCCGCTAACCAGGAGGTAACATAAAACACTTTCTCCCCTTTTGAGGTGCAATTTCTCTAACATTATCCCTTGTGTTTCCCATTACTTTTATTGAAACTGTCACAAAAAGATAAATTACATTCTGTATACACCACTGAACATGGCCTATTGAAAATGGTTGTCAGATTAATAGAATCTTCTGATTCCTGATTTATTCAGATTTGTCATTGTGAGCAAACCAAAAACATGGGCTAGTGACAGGTCCCAGACAGGTCTTTTTTGTCCTAGACATGGAAAATCAGCAAGGTTATAGATATGTGCCTGACACAATAAGCAATATCATAGCAAAATGGCTTAGTTGGAGTTTGTGTCAGATATCACTATAAGCATTACTGTACATTCAACAGTAAATATAACATTATAGGTTAAATTCTGGGACACAGAAAAATGTAAGACAACTAACAGTGTGTTTTCTGTCTGTGTATTAATAAATATGTTTTAAAAGTCTACGGGAGATTGCAGGCTAGACAGATACAGTACAGTTAAGGACTGTACTTGAGATAATACATGTTCATCATTTATGGATTGGTAATACAGTTCACTTAATACTGACACATTTTAAAATTCTGTTATAAAGCTGTGGTTTTCCAATAGAATTTTGGCCACATACTCCTTTTTAAGTTTGTTATAGCTCTGCATCCCATTAACATTTTGTGTTATGGATAATAAAAAAATTGTAACACTTTATACCATTACAGCAAGAAGGCAACATCTCCAAGAACCTAAGAGAGGTTGCAGATTTGTTCTTCACCTTTTTTTCTTTTTCTTTTCTTTCGTTTATATTTCTCTTTTCACTTGTTCTGTTTTTCCACTCCTTCCTTTCATGCACTCTCGTGAAGTTCCTTGTATACCCCAGTTTGAGAAACACTAACACTAATCTGAACATTGTGACCTAGAAATTTAGATTTCTGCTGACCTAGAAATTTAGATTTGTTTCTTTCCTTTTGATGGCAATGAATTAGGGTAGGGAGTGGTGGTAGATTGTATGCAACCATTTTTAGCAAAAGATTGTGCTCTCATGATTTGAAGGGAGGAAGTTATTACATAACATTGGCAATCGACAGCTAAACTGCCTACTGCTTCCACTTAACTGCTAAAATTATTACTAATGAAGTAGTTAAATGAACATTTTGCAATATTATTGAGATGGAGGCCTGTTACTCCCTTTTTTAGGTCTAATTACCAAATTTCCTTCTCAAAGCCCAAGTACATGATCACACGGGACCTAAAAATGATTGTGGAAGACAGAAGTGGGGCAAAAAAGAAACCAGGTATCATCTTCCCTTATCAGCAAGTATTCATAAATGGTTCAATGTCTAGTCAAGAGGAGGTATCAGGTGGGCTTCCCCAGGGCTCTCTCCTGAGTCTGGTATCACTTAACATTTTAATTAATGATTTGCATGATGGAATTGAGTGTATGCTTAGAAAATATGTGCATGACATCAAGTTGGGTGATGTTGTAGATGTTTAGGAGAATAGGGCTAAGAGTGAGAATGACCTGGATAAATGGGAGAAATGATCCAGAATCAACCAAATGAAATTCAAGCAGGATAGGTACCAAGTCCTGCACTTGAAACAGAAAAAATGCATGCATAAATACAGACTGGGGAATGAATGACTAGGTAACAGTAGTGCAGAGAAGAACCTAGGGGTTACGATTGACTAGAGCCTGAATATAAGCCAGCTGTGTGTTCTTGTTGCCAACGATTCTTGTCAAACAGTTCTTGTTTCCTATGATTTGTAGGGTGATTATAGAGAAGATGAAAATGGGCTTCTCTCTGTTGCTATAAAGGACAGGACTAGGAGCAACTTGCAGCAGAGGGAATTTATGTTGGCAATTAGGAGGAACTTTCTGACTATGAGGATGGTCCAACATTGGAACAGGTGACCTAAGAAAGTTGTAGAATCTCCAATCCTGGAAATTTTCAAGTACAGCCTGAACAGACACGTGGCTGGACAGGTTTTGGCAGGAATGATCCTGCCTTGAGTATGAAGCTGGACTAGATGATCTGATGAGGTCTCTTCTAGCCATACTTTCCTGTGATCCTATCCAACAATGCAGTGTTGTTACTTCCCTTACTATACAGCTGGGAGTTGCAGCGAGTGTCCATTTGTGCCTCTTAGAAAAAGGTTTTATGTTTGTGAATGCAAAAATAAGTATCTTTGGTTGCTTTACTACATTGTCCCACTGTATCATCAAGTTTCTCCATTGCAGAGTCCCCTACCTGGCATGTTCTCTGCTGTAGAGGGACATAACAGTTATGCTGTGTTTGGAGACTTCTATATCTTTAAGTAGAGAAGACCACAATTGAACCTTAGATATATTTCATTCATTCTGTCCAAAAACCTCACACAGTCTTGATTTTACCATATATTTAGATTGGTATTTTCACAACTATGAAGGCTAGTTGGGTTTTTTTGTTTGTTTTTGTTTTTTAAACTGAAAGCTTATATTCTGCAGAAACTTGAGACCATCACAAAGAAATCAGTCTGACATACCCCTGTGTTGTTATATAGTCTAACTCTAAATACAAACTGTAAAATTACAAGGGGACTTCCAAGGGACCCCAATGAAATTAAATGAAACCCTCTAGTTTAAAATAACAGTTCTTTGTCAATGTTGCCAGATATGTACTTTATAATATTTCTATAAGAACAGCTCTTCAAAGTTGTTTTGGCAATTGTTGCTATTGATACTTTGGTAATGCCCTGACCAATAAGCAGGAAGTGATGTATTTTATAGGCGGTTCTGTAAACCCTTTCCTTGGAAGAGGGAGACTTCTAGGGCCAGAGAGAGATTTTGGGATAGTGTATATGCACTTTAAAATGAGCTGGAAATTTTAAGAACCTTTCTGATCCAGCATCCTTAGAAACATTATACAGACTTATTGTGTTAATAGCGCTGAAAACATTTAGTTAGGACATTACTCAAGAGAGCTGGAAAGTGATAAGTTCATTTGCACAACATGTATGTTGATATCTCAATTTCCTGAGAGGTATTATAGCTAAAATCTGAGAATGCAATTAAATAATCATAAAAAAGAGCTTGGCAGAGAGAGATGCAGAAGGGAATTGGCAGATTAAGTCTGAACCATCAGTACATTTTGAAGAGGAGTTCAGATAATGTTCACAATTATTTAATTAAAACAGACAAAATGGATTAGACAACAACAAAATATAGGGGCTGGTTTAACACCAGAATCCCCAGTGAATGTACAGTCTGTTTATTTGAACGGCTTTGTAAATTGGTTGTACTGTGCATGAAAAGAAATGGAGCAAGTTTCCAAAGCAGTTGAGTACAGGCTTTTCAGTTATTTCTGTATTACTGTCACTCAGTGTCTGTTCTTCTAAAAAGCTGTCATTACTAAGCAGCAGTGCTCCTCCCTTGATAATACAAATTATTTTCTTTCATATCTCTGTTCTTTTCATTGTAACAGCACACCTCATGTGCAGGACTACTGTATAAACCTAAAATGATGATAGTATGTTGGTCCCCTGATTAAACGGTTGTATCAGTAGGGAACGCAGCAGATCCAGATCTAGGAAACAGTAGGAATCTGTTTATTAAATTAGCATCTCTTTCTCTGCAAGTGTTACCTGTCTTACCTCTAGTTGCCTGCAAGAAATATTGTACCCATTAAGAATTATTGTACCCATAAAGATATACAGAACACAAGAAATTCAGAGTTTAGGCAGCAAGCAAGCTAGATACCCAAGCAATGTATACCCAAAGACTTATACTATGAAAATGTAAATATGAGCTTGTTCTCCTAAATGGACTATGTTGCATGCTTTCTGAATAACTAGCATACTTGCAAATATTAAAAATTGACATTGCATTCTCAATTCAGGAAAAAAATATCTGGAAACTTATGAAACACTTTCAATTAAGTTAATAACACTTATTCAGCTGAAATTGCAGAGGGAATCAAGATAGACAAAATGTAATTCCCCAAATTGCAATTTGACCAGATCTGATGCTTGTACTGTTACACAAAATGTTGTGGGAACACAAGTGTTTTAACACTCTTTTATGTCACCACTCTGCTGCTACATTGATCCAGAAAAGAGTCTCTCCTGTTGAATCGGATTTTTTTTACTCTAAAATCCTTGTATTTCCTAACTTAATGAAATTTCACACAGAGTAGTCTAACTGGGTATGACTACCAAATTCTAACTCTGCTTCAGCTGAACTTTTCAAAACGAAGAATATCCACAAATTGGTACATTGGTGTTCTATCTTAGAGTTAGCAGGTTCTAAAAAGAACAAAATGGTAAGTTCATTGCCATATCTTCAGACCTGCACACTACAGAAATTATGCCAATGTTATATATTATAAAATGTGGTTCAGTTAAAGGAACAGCTTTGATTCCTTTCTTTATCAAGAAAAATTAAAAAGGCATATCAAATTAGATAAGGAGGCACTGTACTGTTTACCCTATATAGTTTAACAAAAATGTATAGGGTAAAGTTCACCAAACTCAAGTATAATGATAGTAATTTGCGCTGTGTAGTCTTACTATTGTCCTCCATTTGACTTTCTCTTTAGAAATTCCATGCTGATAGCTTTGGTACTTAAGTTTCATCTTCCCTGTTTGTTAAATTATTTCCTGGAAACATTTAAAATTACACTTCAGGAGCTCAATCATATGAATATCTGAATAGATTTTATAGGTGTTGAGCACGCTCAGTTTCTGTTGAAATCAGGGTGTGTTCACTTGGCACCATACAAAATCACACTCTAAGACCAACATATGGGGTTTTATTCTTTTTTGTGAGATAGAAACAATGCGGTGGTCCAGATTACTGAGGGGCAGCATTTTTACACTGTTAAATAACACACACACACCCAAAGCAATATTCTTACTGGGATATTTTACACTCGAATTCAGCTACATTTATCTGTTGTAAAGTTAACAGAGAGGTCTCACATAGGCTCTAGCAAAGCAGTTCCCTTCAATACAGTAGTGATCAT